CCGGCCCCACAACGTATGAAAGTCGGATCTCTTTCTTCATCATTGCCTCTGATCTACCCTTTGCAGGACATCTGTCTGCGACTAGTGGTGTGAAGAACCTCAAACAGTGTCGGAAAGTTGTTGACCCTACCACTACCATCGCATTGACCAGGCTCGACACAATCTCCCTCGATGCTGCTGATGCCGGTGTTGCCTCTTACTCTGCCGATGCCGATGTGGAAGTCGACAACGACGTCCTCGACTTTCCAACCGATGTTGAATTGAACAGCTCAGCCAACATTACCGGAACCAACGTCGCTCACTCAAGGCAAGTGTCCACTCAAAGCTGAAGTCGCACTCTCCTCTTCTATCTGCCTTTCGCCAAGTTCAACAATGACCTTGTTAAATCATAAAGCTTTCTCGGAAACAGGACAAAAAGTTGTAGTTGATGAAAGAAAAGAAGTGCAAGTGGAGGCAGCATCAGGAGAGGAAGGTGGTAAGGAGGAAGAGAAAATTGAGGAGTTCTTTACTGGTTCGTGGTGCGTGGAGGCTGCTAATGACCACTTGCTTCCATTTTAGGGGGGCGAGCGTCTACAACGACGACTAAAGCGTTTGGTTTGTTGTTGTTTTTCCCCAGTGTGTGATTAGATGATTCATTTCCAAATTTACCATATCCATGAATATCCACAATTACACTTGACTGTTTGTTGTTCTACTGTGTCTTGTCACTTCTGGGTGTGGTGGGAATGGCGGAGCGATGGAGTGGTGGCATGGGGCAGCATTCAAGCAATTAGATGAAGAGATACGGTTAACAACCTGGCCACCTGACAGATTGGTAGGCAAGATCACAAACATTCGGACAGAGAGATAGATGGGTGGGTGGATAGGCAGATACATAGATATGTAGATAAATAGGTGAACAAGTAATTGACAAAGTAAATTCCACCTCGAAAGGTTACTTCGCCATATGTAGCATGTGTCCTCCTCTCGAGAGCTTCTCTACCGCCTAACACTGACCACTCCTCGTCTGTCGATGCCACCTGAGGTTTTGTTCCATGGTATGCCTTACCTCGGGCCTGACACCTACAATGATGGCACACTTCGATTGAATTCAGAATATCCAGGTAAAAGAAAAGGCAAGTATCAGAAGAGAAGTGAGATGGGAAACAAGCATTCGACCTGGAAGGAAATCACTCATTTGAACTCTCCCATTTCGCATTTGCTCGAGCTGGTGCCTCTCACACAGTATTGAAGGATGCATCGAATTGTAACCGAATCCTTTGGTGCGGACACTTTCGCTTTGCTGAAGGAGCGCGCCTCCGCCAGCCATCTACTCCGCCCTTGCTTTTGCAAGCTCAACTCCATTTCTTCTCACCTTTTCGCTTCAATTCTCCCCTCGCCTCCGAATATCCAAATGGCATCTAACCTGGTAGTGATAATACGCCCTGAAGAGGTGGTCATCATCTAAGGAGCCTCACCCATGATGCGGGCTCTACGAATATTAAGCACAAACAGCAGCACGTTAAGTTCCACATCTAAATCGAACCCATATTTCTATCCTCGAGTTTTAGAAGTATGCCAACTCATGGATTCAGGCAGCTACATAAGGATTTGTTCCAGTGTCGGAAAGGCATTCGTATCCCTTCAGATTGCCTACTAATGCGCTGAAGCAACTGCACTCAACCGTGGAGGATTCTGTACACCCATGAATTCGTGGTGTGAATTCGAAATGCAGCAGAGCGCCAACACTGATTGGCTGTTGCAAGTCAGTCCCTCCGAAGTTCAAACTCAGGCTCGACCCATGCAAATACACCCGGATCAGCTTCACCTCTTTACTGAAACCTGTATTTAGCGTGCACGACTATTTATCCTGTGGATGTGCAGCGCAGTGCCATTTCCTCGGGTGTGTGTCTGCGTATTCCAAAATGGCAATCCCTCGATTTTCACATGCGAGTCGAATGGCATAAATAAAGTGAGTCGTGCGGTTGCATGACCAAATCCAGTCGCTTCCGATCCTCGTCGCTTTTTCTCCAGCCTTGGTCACGATGTGGCAACAACTTTGCATTTTCGTCAACAATGATCCTAATAAAATCCGGCAACCACATTTAAATACAATTTGTCCTGCAGAATCCATTTCGCAGTTAAAATAACGCCTTGTGCTTGACGAGGTCATTTGTTGGTATTACGCCAGACATGACAGCCAAATTTGTAACACATGATTTTAAGCACGAGGACTTCTGCGTCATTCAGCTCATATCATCTTGTTGCCCAGCAATTGATGGCAAATTCTTCGTGAATCATTAGCAAGGCAATATTTGGGCAATTTAACTGACAACCCCATGACATGTAGATACGAACATAAGTCAGGTCTCTCAGTCAATGCATTTATTTTGCTCGTCTTGTCGTAACTTCCAGAAATCCAGAATTTTTCATACGTGCTTCTTTTGTTGCAACTTCTAGAAATTTGGGGTTTTTTACATGCCAGTGCCTAACAATCAGGAACCATCACAAATGGGGATGGAGGTGTGCAAAACAGCCTACCCGGAGATCCATTCGTGTCCACCATTTATAAAGTTCTCTTTGTCAATGACCATCAGCCCTACAATTGGTTCGACTCTTCGATTTCATCAAGCGCAATGTCAGCACGAAGAACTCCTCGCATCTGTACACTGACTTCTGCAACGCTCCCACCTCCCAGCATCTTGCCAAAGACCAGCAACTCCAACGCAAAGGCACGCACTTTTGATTGCACCGTGTAACAACATGCGACTTCAATATTTGGGGATCTGCAACGGCAAAAAAATGTGTAAGTTCTATAAATAAATTCCAAAATTTTTCGGAAAATCGCAGAGAGGACTTTGCTACATAAAAGACGACATTCGCCTCGAAGGCGAATACCCACACACAAACGCAAAAAAATTATCAGTAGTAAACACGCGGTCAAGACATTCAATACCTACCGATGCCGTAACATCGGTTTCTCGCTCACAACCACACCTCGACGCACCTTCCTAAATAAATTGCACAACAAAACATTTTACACGACCTCACAACCATCTCCGAGCTGCAAACACGCAAGGAAACGGTACTGCCTGTGCGTTCAGTTATTCAGACAGTTCAATTTACCTATCAAATGTGGCTACTCCGGCACCAGAGCGCCCTATTCACTCCCACTGCCTTTCAGCCCACTTCTACTCTGCATTCCAAACAGCACTTTTCCATGTCCTCACCTCTGTACTGATCCGTCACGTCTTCTGAGGTCATTCTGGCAAATCCTATCCCAACTGGAATGGTAAGACGGTACGCCTTCACGTCACAGTGGGAAGGAATCTCCTGCAACCCACGACATCAGTATCCAACTTTTCCTCCCTCTGGTACATAACAAGCGTATAACGTCATTCGCCAGTGCAACGACACATTTCAAAGCATCAACTACGCTGCAGTCGCCGTTAAAAAAAGAGGGGTTATACGAAGCACCGATTGCGAAACGGAAAAGTGAAGCAATGTTTACTCGGGCAGCACATTCAACTACGCCGACTCTTCACTCCCCACTCTCGCCTCTCCTTTGCGCCATCTTGGTGTCATAATCCCCTCTCAAGCGAGTAACCTTCAAGTTCTTCTTCAAGCTACTAGCAGTAAACTTCCTTCTACAGTGATAAAATCAAGTAGCTCTTCAAGGTGCAACTACTTCAAGGCATGCAGTGTTGAAGGTAGGGGAAAGTGAAAGCGATTACAACATCGGCCGATTAAAATCAAAAACAAATACTTTTCACAAAATTGTTGATATGAGTTAAGTGTTGACCTTAGCCCATTTCATTTGTTGAAAGGTGGCAGATGGCACAGGTAGGAGCAGTTAGCAGGAAACGAGAAAGAGACTGCATGAAAGGAAAAAAACACCGAACGAACCAATGATGAAGATACGGCGGTGCTCCTATGGGAGAAATTGCGCTGAAGACTGTGCATTCTTAAGTATTTCTCCAAAAATTGCGTGAATTCATTGTGCGCACATTTCGCATGGTGGAATCAAACAGTCGCACCAATTGTGATGCTGATAATCGTTGATAAAGGGACTTTTTGAAATAGTGGATATAAATGAATTCCCAAGGGGTGGAAATCCACTTCTTTGTCCAATCTTCGTGTCAGCATTTCCCAGATTGAAAACATCACACTGCAAATATCCACCTTCGGTTAACGGGTGCAGGATTCATCGGTGCCACCTAGGTTTGGAAAATGACAATCGCATACTCAAACGTTTCTGCAAGAACGGTGGGTACGGCACAATTATTCATGATCGCAACTGTAAATTAACCTAGTGCATCCACGCTAGGTACCATGTCAGCCTCTTGACATTGACAAAGAAGCCAAATCTGCGTCATGTTGAAGAAGCACTTACACAGAGAAATTCATTACATGCAATGAAAGAGGAGAACATAACTTCGTTCCTTGCTTCCTTGCGATGGAAGTATGCAGGCTCATCGTCACCGAAAAAGCCCTTAATCTGGTTTCATCGCTCCTCATGCAAGTCATCTGGTAAGCCTAATCCATGCAATCACTTATCACGTTCACTACCCTTCACGGCTCAGATGCTGCAATGTTCCAAGCAATGATGTCGAGTGCCGTACATTTTCCCAGCCACTCTCTCCACAACAATCACTCGGCAAATACAGTTTTCCTAAAGTGGAAGGAAACACGTCTCTTATTTCTGACGCTTAGGCCAAACAAGTATACCGGGACTTCACGCACACATTACGCCGACAGTAGAAATGGTAA